GCCTGAGAAGTAAAGGAGTCAATTCAGGCGCGCTGCTGAGACTGGCACTTGGAGCATAGCAGGTGCTCACCTGAGGTTATCACTTACCACAGTTTCATGTTGGGTTGTCCTCGAAACACCCTGTTCCTCCTAAGCTACCACCTTCCCCAAGAATAGTGTGTGTGTGTGCGCGTGTGTGTGTGAGTGTGTGGGGCGGACCTTGCAGGCAGGGAGGTGATGGCCTCACTCTTCTTTATGACCTTCAAGGCCCTACAGGCTCTCCCCCTTGCGGGTCTCTCCAACCTCACCTCTTCCTTCCTTCCCACTTAATAAAACACCTCCTGCAGCCACAGTGGCCTTTCATTCCTCAGACACATGTGTCTTTCTTGCCCCCGGACAGGGCCTTTGCAGGTGCTGTTCCCTCAGCCTGAAAGTTCTTGATGTACCTGGCTCTTCGTCACCCTCCAGGCCTTGGCTCAAATGTCACGCCCTCAGAGAGGCTGGCCCTGACCTCCCTGATTGCTGACTCCCTGTCTCCCCGCTGGAATGCAAACAGCAGGCGAACAGGGGCAGTGTTTGTCTCGCTCGCCTCTGTGCCACAAGTGTAGCAAGGACTCAACGTGACGAATGTTTGGATGACTGGAGGGGTACTGCCCTGAGACCTGGTTCCAGAGACCCCAGGGAATCCCGTGGGTAGGGAGGAGCCTGGAAGCCGGCCAAGCTGGGTTGGAGCCCCTCGACAACTGTGTGGCCTTCCGATCGCTGAGCATTAGCCTCCTCATCTGTACAATGGATCATCACAACTCCCTTGCAAAGCCATTTCACAGATGGAGATGTAAAAGCACTGAGCACGGTTCCCAGGACACACCTGGGAAACAGGGGCCTTTAGAACCAGGATTCATTCCTTTAGCAACCTAGCTTTGGGACAGGCCTATTAAGATGTAAAAGCCATCTGGACTGCTGGACACTGCTGGCAGTCTCTGGCACTCGGTGAGAATGAGTTTCTCACGTTTCCCTGATTGGTGACGGGGATGGGACGGGCTGGGGGACAGGTAGAGAAGGAGGCTGAGTCCCTGACGCTGGGGTGAGGAAGAGGCAGGCCTGCATGCTGGCCCCGAGGGTAGCCAGTTCCTCTGAGCGTGTTTCCTTGCCATTTAGGAGGTGGTAGTGAGGGTTAGAACTAACACAACCAGTACAAAGAAGGTCCCTTCCCGCACTTCTTTCCTGGAAGCAAACGTCATGATTTCTCGGGTTTGCTCTGGTTCCCCAAGACTGGGAGTAGAGGCGACCAGTCTGGACCTTACTGATGCCAAGCCCAGGACAGCCCAGGCTGCACTGAGCCCACTCTCTCACCTGTTCACCTCAATTCCCCAAGAGGAGGCTACCCAGACCCCTGCCTCTGCCCCAGCGAGTCCCACTGAGATCTGGTCTGTTATCATTCAGCCCTTTCTCTGGCCAGCTCAGCTGGGCTGTCCTGTTTGGTGCGGGGCTGTTGGAACCATGCCCCCCCAGGAGCCTCAGCACACATGTTTCCAAGGAGACAGCCCTGAGTATGCTCCCACAAACTTGCAACGTCCCCTTCTTTCAAGGAGAATATCCATGGAAAGGAGGGTGGAAATGAGGGAGTGAAGGTCGGATTGCAAATGTGATGTCCGTGGAAGGAGCATAATGCCAGGCCCAGCTGCCGTTTGCCTTTCACAGAGAAAACAGTGTGGCACTTCACAGTTTGCAAACGCTTTCACATGGGATAGCTCACTTGATCCTGGCCACAAGCCTGTGAAGCAAGTATTCTTCTCACAGATTGGGGATGGAGAGAGGCATGTCAAGGATACTGTGCTGGGTGGCCCACAGCGATTCTGGTTAGGAGCTCCTGACACGAGGAACCTGCCTGCTCAGCTGAAAGTGATGGCCTTATTCAACCTCTGGTATGCTTTCACGCTACATGGTTCCCTGAAAAGGAGGCCCAAGTGACCAAAGTTGGCAGAAAGATGAGGGGCGGCCTCTGAACACAGCCAAGGAATGAGGGAAGCATAGGGTGTAAAGAGCTAACAGTGTGGTTTAGAGAAGCAGGGTGTTTCCTGAATCTGGAGAAGGAAGTGTGAGAGCAAGCAGCCTGGAACAGAATGGCCTCTTGGAAGAGGATCCTTGGGAGAAAAGGCAGGTGCAAATCGGGAAGAACAGTCCTTAGGGGTCAGGGCCCAGAGGCAGAGGGGAAACCGAGTCAGAGCTTGGGGCGCAGACCCACTCTCTGGCTGGACGTAGATTTCTCTGCCTACAAGAAAGTTGGTTGAACGGGTGGCCCAGAGTGAGGGGCCACTGGGTGGTGGCTATAGCCTGAAGCCGAGGAGTCTCGAGCCTGGTCAGCACTGTTGGAGGAAGTCTGCTTAACCAGGAAAGGGGGGAGTCTACACAGGCTGGGGTGGGAGCCCCAGGGCAGCAAAAGGGAGAGGCCCCGAGGTCGGGGCTCAGGCAGCGTCCTTGAATTAGAAAATGGAGAGGCTGCAGGGAGAACAGAGTCTCGTGAGGGCACATTCTCACCCTCCGCACGGCTCCCCTCTGACGTCCCCTCCCGCTGGACCCAAGGTGTGCTCTGCATGTGACCCCCGTGTGAGCTGAAGCACAGTCACCGGGCTGGGGAGAGTGGGGACTTTGTAAAGAGGTCTCCGTCCCCCACCCCGGAGAAACCTGTGCCACTCACACCACAGCCCCGGGCGAGCAATCCTGAAGGGCCACCCAGCGCCTCTGTTGCCCTCCTCCCGGGGGTCCGAAGCCAGAGTGAGGGATGCACGCGGGGGAGAAGCCCTTGAACCACACGGGTTTGAACTGCTCGGGTCCACTTACACGTGGATTTCTTCACTAACTACGTTCAGTACTATCTGATCTGTGGTTGGTTGAATCCAAGGATGTGGAAACATGTATATCCACAGGGTGACTATAAAGTTATACGCAGATTTTCAACGGTGAGGGGGGTTGGGCCCCTGACCCCCATGTTGTTCAAGGGTCAACTGTGCTTGCTACATGCCCACTGGAAATCCTAGCTGTGACGCTGTGTGTAGTCTCTTCACCAAGGTATATTGCCTTCAGGTGGACATTTATTTTTATGAAAGATTGGGAGAGTCTGGGAGCTTTGGAAAGTGGCGATGGCAGGTTAGGGGCAGTAATAAGAGCGAGGTCTTTGTGGGTTACACTGACCCCCTTGACTCTTTGACCCTCGTCCACTTATTTCATCCACCCATTGGCATCTGTCAGTCTGTCCGGGTCTCATGCTTCTGACTCTCAGTGAGACACCACGTAGAGAAGTGATAGGAGGTGGCCTGAGACTCTGGTCCACCCCTCGTGGACCAACCCAGCTGTATACCAAACCAGCTGTCCTCTGTGAGGTCGCCAGTTCTCGGCAGAGCTCTCCCTGAGACCCTGGGCGAGTCCCCTCCGTGCTGGGCCCTGACTTTGCCGTCCACGGTGCGCAATGGGGACTTTGCAGCTGTCGCGGGGCTCTGGGGACCAGCTGGGAGCCGGGGACGAGCAGCTGCTGCTGCTCTTCATAGACCTTGTTATTCAGGTCCGAGGAGCAGCGCCCTGAGTTGCCCCCAAGACCCCTTCCCTGCCCAGCCGGGAGCTGACCCTGCAGACCCGCCGGCAGCCCAGCTGCTCCCCGTGCCCGTACTGGGCCGCCTGGGCCACCCTACCGTCCCTGGGTGCCCGGACCAAGAAGGAAGCCCTATTCCTCCAGCTTTTGGAAGGACTTCCAGCCTCACCTACCCACATAGGGTGTTCAGAGATGGCAGGAAAGTCAGCTGTGGTTCATCGGCCAGGCTGATTTGAGAGTTTTGAGGCGATGGGCTTCTCCTGGTGAGCAGCCGGGCTCCTGAGTGCCAGGAGGGCACAGGCTGCCCACAGGTGAGGCCTGAGGGAGTCCTGGAGCTAGATGACAGAGCCCACGGGGAGCCCTGCCCCGAGCTCTGGGAGCCGCCTTCTAACCTCCGGCTGCGTCTCCATGAACGGAGCCTGCCGCCCTCCTTCCCTGAGCCTGGCTCCCCGAGCTGTGTCAGGGCAGGGGCTGTGGTGTGTGTCCTCGGCCTCCAGTTTGGGAGTGGCCTAAGGGTTCCGTGGAAGGAAGTCCTGTGGGGACAGCCAGGGCTGCCTGGTGCTGAGATGTATCAGGTGCCAGCACAGCAGGTGAGGGAGAGGCCTGAGAAAGGTCCCTTGAGGGGACACCTGGGATTCCGAAGTCAGACTCTGGCAGCCGAGGGCAGCTGGGCTCCTTTAAAGGCGCCTGTGCAGCTTGAGCAATGAGGACCTGACATCTTAGAACAGAAGCGATTTGGAGAAATATTTGGCAAAAGAGGGGGCCCCCTGAGCAGGCTGGCGCCCAAAGTTCGCATGGCCTTGGGCCTCTCAGGCAGGACTCGGGAGACACCTGGTGCTGGCTGCCCACTCTGCCCCTCGGTCCACACCCTCCTCCGCCGGCTCCCTCGCCCCGTGTTTGCCTGTGGTATCCTAGGAACCGGGGCTTCCAGCCTGTGGTCCTGTTACATAACAGCTTCCATCCCATCCACGGGTTCAGCCCTCCAGCAAGCGGAAGCCGAAGCAGACGCCCAAAGGAAAGCCTCCTCTCCAGACACGGGGGGCTGCCTGAATCTACAGTCCCTGCCAGCCCCCTGCCGCCCCAACATGCAGAGAGAGGGAACTTAATAAGCAGTCAGCATCCAGTGTGTACTCTCAGCAGGGCCCTCTGGTCCTGTCCTTGTCCCGCGTGAGCACGGCACCTGTCAGTGGCCACACGCTGGCCACGGCTTCCCAAAGCTAGCAGGCCCTGGGGGCAGTCCCTGAGTGACGGTGCCACTCCCTACCGTGTCCCTCTCGGCACCCCAGCCCTTCCTTGCCCAGGAAGAGGCCAAGGGCAGACCGCTGCTGGGAACCCTCCCTTGCCTGGAGATGCCTGTCGGGCCAATGTGCCTACGGCGGCCTCCACCCCTTGGGCACCTGGGCAGCCAGCCATCACAGACCACGTCCTCTCCTACCTGTCCTCTTCTCTGGCCAAGGCAGAGAGTGCTCCAGCAGGGACTTGAGGACCTCAGGCATGTCCATGGCAGGGGCCACTCCAATCCTGTCGCAGCTCGACATGGCCCGGCAGGGGGTGCTTGCTGGGGGAGTTTAGAAGCAGCTGGAGAGGCAGGAGCTGGCCCGGGAGCCACAGGCTCTGGAGGCAGGCGGGGCGGGAGCCCGAGGCAGCCAATGGGCAGCACGGGCCCCGGCCCGCCCGTCCACCCCCGGCTCGGCCACCTGCCAGCTCCAGCTGCAGCCAGGCCTTCCCTTCCTGCTTCCTGGCAGGGCGGACCTGGCCCTGCGCCAGCCTCAGCACGTGGAGACACAGCACCAATCCTCTGACAGAGAGCCCGGTGTTATCTAACTTTGCAAAGGGAAGTTCTCCCCCAGGCTGGGAGCCAGGACCGGGCCTGCCAGGTGAGAGCAGTGAGCATGCACTACGCACTCCGGCCCACTGGGCAGGGCAGCCCTGGAGGCTGGGCCCCGCGGAGAGCAGGGCCTGCCGAGGAAACCAGCCCGGGCTGGGCCCTGAGACCCCGGCAGCAGGCAGCTCAGCACAAGGATGTACTGTGTTGGCACGCACAGGCACATGAGTGGGCGTCACGCACCTACCTGTGGGCTTGTGAGTCTCGAGGGGTTGTTGGCATGTTTTGATGCTGGTCCATATGCTATGCATGCACACGTGCCCTCCCAGGCATACGGTGTGCATGTGGCATGCATAATTGGGGCTTTACACTATCTGCAGAGCTTGAAGCCTGCTCTTCTAAGGGTAGTGACAAACCTGCAGCCTGGGGTTCCTTTGGTCTTCGGGGACGGGGAGAAGAGGCAGGTGCCTAGCGGACAGGTGCTGGAGGGCAGGCAGAGCAGGCACCACTGAAGGGGGGCAGCTCTGTCAACCGGGCTCGGGCTCGTCCTGGACGATGTCCTGCTTCCCAGCCTGTATCCCAGCCTGGGGAACTTGGCGGCAATTGGCTGTTTGCTGTAGTCCCCTCCCTGGCCCTCTCACCAGGACACTGGCCTCGGAGGTCCCCAGGCCACTTACTTGAATGCGTGGTTGAAGCCAAAGTTCTGTGTGTCGCCCTCCATAAAGACCAACACCTGCCTTGGCCGGCTGGGGCTGGGGGTGGGGTAGGGGAGGGGGCATTGGCTCCACCTCTCCACGCAGTGATGTGGCATCGAGAGCAAGCTGCTGGGTCTCAGTTCCAAAACCACTGAATGTTGCGACCTCCAAGGTTCCTTTCAGCTCTGGTTCTGTCTCTGACGCTCCAGGTTGGATGCAGTAAGCATTTGGTTCCTGCACCATAGCTGATTTCTATGTTGTCTTTCCCCGCTTTCTAAAATTCCATTTTGCACAAACGGCAAACACTTTAGGACGCCCTCTAGCCTCTCCTCTTCCCAACAGCCCCAGCTTATCCTCCAATTACCCTCTTTGTCACCCTAATAGTCCTCCCCAAACCATGTTCTTTCCCCAAATTAATTAAAAATTAATTTCAAGTTTTGAATACAAAAAACAGTACATGGCTCAAAGCTCAAAACTTTTGATAAAGGTATACTTTTTATTTTTGGCTGCGTTGTTTTTTTTTTTCTTCTGTTGCTGAGGCTTTCTCTAGTTGCGGTGAGCGGGGTCTGCTCTTGCTTGCTGGGGGAGTTTAGAAGCAGCTGGAGAGGCAGGAGCTGGCCCGGGAGCCACAGGCTCTGGAGGCAGGCGGGGCGGGAGCCCGAGGCAGCCAATGGGCAGCACGGGCCCCGGCCCGCCCGTCCACCCCCGGCTCGGCCACCTGCCAGCTCCAGCTGCAGCCAGGCCTTCCCTTCCTGCTTCCTGGCAGGGCGGACCTGGCCCTGCGCCAGCCTCAGCACGTGGAGACACAGCACCAATCCTCTGACAGAGAGCCCGGTGTTATCTAACTTTGCAAAGGGAAGTTCTCCCCCAGGCTGGGAGCCAGGACCGGGCCTGCCAGGTGAGAGCAGTGAGCATGCACTACGCACTCCGGCCCACTGGGCAGGGCAGCCCTGGAGGCTGGGCCCCGCGGAGAGCAGGGCCTGCCGAGGAAACCAGCCCGGGCTGGGCCCTGAGACCCCGGCAGCAGGCAGCTCAGCACAAGGATGTACTGTGTTGGCACGCACAGGCACATGAGTGGGCGTCACGCACCTACCTGTGGGCTTGTGAGTCTCGAGGGGTTGTTGGCATGTTTTGATGCTGGTCCATATGCTATGCATGCACACGTGCCCTCCCAGGCATACGGTGTGCATGTGGCATGCATAATTGGGGCTTTACACTATCTGCAGAGCTTGAAGCCTGCTCTTCTAAGGGTAGTGACAAACCTGCAGCCTGGGGTTCCTTTGGTCTTCGGGGACGGGGAGAAGAGGCAGGTGCCTAGCGGACAGGTGCTGGAGGGCAGGCAGAGCAGGCACCACTGAAGGGGGGCAGCTCTGTCAACCGGGCTCGGGCTCGTCCTGGACGATGTCCTGCTTCCCAGCCTGTATCCCAGCCTGGGGAACTTGGCGGCAATTGGCTGTTTGCTGTAGTCCCCTCCCTGGCCCTCTCACCAGGACACTGGCCTCGGAGGTCCCCAGGCCACTTACTTGAATGCGTGGTTGAAGCCAAAGTTCTGTGTGTCGCCCTCCATAAAGACCAACACCTGCCTTGGCCGGCTGGGGCTGGGGGTGGGGTAGGGGAGGGGGCATTGGCTCCACCTCTCCACGCAGTGATGTGGCATCGAGAGCAAGCTGCTGGGTCTCAGTTCCAAAACCACTGAATGTTGCGACCTCCAAGGTTCCTTTCAGCTCTGGTTCTGTCTCTGACGCTCCAGGTTGGATGCAGTAAGCATTTGGTTCCTGCACCATAGCTGATTTCTATGTTGTCTTTCCCCGCTTTCTAAAATTCCATTTTGCACAAACGGCAAACACTTTAGGACGCCCTCTAGCCTCTCCTCTTCCCAACAGCCCCAGCTTATCCTCCAATTACCCTCTTTGTCACCCTAATAGTCCTCCCCAAACCATGTTCTTTCCCCAAATTAATTAAAAATTAATTTCAAGTTTTGAATACAAAAAACAGTACATGGCTCAAAGCTCAAAACTTTTGATAAAGGTATACTTTTTATTTTTGGCTGCGTTGTTTTTTTTTTTCTTCTGTTGCTGAGGCTTTCTCTAGTTGCGGTGAGCGGGGTCTGCTCTTCGTTACGGTGCATGGGCTTCTCATTGCAGTGACTTCTCGTTACGGAGTACGGGCTCTAGGCGCGGGCTTCAGTAGTTGCGGCATAAGGGCTCGGTAGCTGTGGCTCGCGGGCTGTAGTGCGCAGGCTCAGTAGTTGCGTTGCACGGGCTTAGTTGCTCCACGGCATGTGGGATCTTCCCAGACCAGGGCTTGAACCCCTGTCCCCTGCATTGGCAGGTGGATTCCTAACCACTGTGCTACCAGGGAAGTCCCTGATAAAGGTATACTTCAGAAATGTCATTTCTATCCGTGCCCCTCCTCCTCGTTCCCCTTCCTCATAACAGATTTAATTTCTTATTTATCCTTCCAGTGCCCTTTGCCTCTGTGAAACCGGGGGCCCTGGCAGTGGGGGACAGCAAAGGTGCGGAGGACCTGGCGCGCAGGCTGTCTTAAGTTGACCTGTGGCTCACAGGCTGGGGCTGAGGCTAGGCCAGTGCATTAACCATTCCTTGGCCCCAAAACACTTTTGTGTTCGAGACTGGCTTACCCCAAAGGTGGAGTGGGCAGGCGCCCACAGAGTATGATTTCAGAGGCAACAGGAGGTTCCCAATGTGTCTCAAATACACCCACCTGCTGCATGACATTTCATTCTCGGAGATTTGTTCCTGTCAGACCCCTTCCGACATATGAATGTACGAAGGTTCTAAGACTGTGACTAATTGCTCACTGCATACCTGGCACCAGCCTAGACCTTGTAAGGAATTCAAAGCTAAATAACAGACCTGGCCAGGCAAGTCCCTTGCCTTAGGGAATTTTCATGCCACTGAAAGTCAGTCCACGTGGCACCCCACACTCTGCAGCCAGGGTGTCCAGCTGGCAGCATCACCTATGGTTCACACAGGGGCCACATCAGCAGGACGCTGGGTCAAGTGGCTGGGGAGGGCAGAGATAGGGAGAGGGGCGGCCACAAACAAGCCTGGAGACATCCGGAGGGGCCTGCATGGCAGGCATGTTGGGATTGCCTGTACTCCTTGGGTTTCCTGCCTCAGAGGTCTAATGTCTGCTGTAGGTGGCTCCCCTGGTGGGGGCTATATGCAGATGCAGTTTCCAGCAGAGGCCCCTGGGGCTTTCTCTAGAGAGATGCAGAGCTGCCCCCATCTCCACCTCTGCCTGTCATCCCACCTGTCAGAAGCAGCTTCCTCAGAGGCAGAGAGGAGGAGCTGCGGCGCCACGGGGGTGGTGGTGCTCATGGCAGCCCCTAATCACAGGACCAAAGACCAGAAATGGGCCCACATTCATTAACTGCGGGCTGCTCAAGCCAACCTGGCACCTTGATGAATGAAGCCATTGACCGTAAATATCTAGGATACATCGGGGCGTGGAGATGCACGTGTGAAATACACTTGAGAGAAAAGAAAAGGTGCCGAACAGTAAGTACACATGGCTTACAATGATCCAACAATCTTCTTAAGGCTCAAATCCAGGTTCACCTCCTCCAGGAAGCCCTCCCCAGCTCCCCAGCTTGGATGAGTTGCCTTCCATGGCACCTGGCATCTCCCACCACTGTGCCTGTCACATCATCCTACACTCTTCCATGCAGAGCTATCTCCCCTGGCAGACTGGATTCAAGGAAGGCCACGTTTTGTCTGTAATCGTGTATCCCTAGGATCTGATATGGGCAAGTGCTCAGTTAGTGCTTACCAACCTGAGCTAAAAGAGAACTAGAAAAGAATTTAGGGGAATTTATGAGAGTTTAAGAATTTAGTCCACTAGGTTCACTGAAGTGCTGCTTATCTGTTTTTTTTTTTTTTGGCGATACGCGGGCCTCTCACTGTTGTGTCCTCTCCCGTTGCGGAGCACAGGCTCCAGCCTCGCAGGCTCAGCGGCCGTGGCTCACGGGCCCAGCCGCTCCGCGGCACGTGGG